AACAGGGTGAAAGATGGAGCTGGCACCTGCCTAGCAATCACAATGCCAGGGCTCGGTCCTCAGCTGGGGAGGGGAGGGGAGGGGTTTGGGGGTGGCGAGGGGAATAGAAGGATGACAGGCAAGGTGAAAGATGAGGACAGACACCCGAGGTTGTCTGATTTCCACATGGTGCACCCACACTTACACACAGAAACAGATGCACTGACACACAAAGGCTACATAGAGAGATCTTGTCTCAAAACAAGAATAACATGTAATGCCGGGCCGGGCCGGCCTGGCGCGCACGCCTTTAATCCCAGCACTCGGGAGGCAGAGGCAGAAGGATCTCTGTGAGTTCAAGGCCTGCCTGGGTACAGCGTGAGTTCCAGGAAAGGCGCAAAGCTACACAGAGAAACCCTGTCTCAAAAAAACAAAAAACAAAACAAAAAAACACAAAAAAACCTCAAAAACAAACAAAAACCAAACAAACAAAAAAAGAATAACATGTTATAGCTTTATGGTTTCCACTCCAGGCTAACAGAATCAGAGTGTCAGCAAACAGGCTAGACACTGCATCTTCTGCACACCATCCAGGCAATTAAAATAAAGATTTATTTATTTTTGTGCGTATGGCTGTTATGCCTACACGTATCTGTGCACTACGTGTGTGCAGTGCCCCCGAAGGCCAGAAGAGAGTGTCGAATCCCCTGGAATTAGCACATTACAGATGAATGAGAGCAGCCATGTAGGTGCTGGGAATCGAACCTGGGGCCTCTGGAAGATCAGCCTCTGCTCCCAAACTCTGAGCCCTTTCTCCAGCCCCATCCAGGTAAAATACAGTCTGTTGTATTGTTTTGTATTTTTTTAACTGACACATGTTAATTGTACACGTTTATGAGGTACAGTATGATATTTCAATGCATATATACAATGTGTTACGATCAAATCAAGGTAATTAATTCCATCTCTTTAAACATTTTCCATGAAGCTCATTTCATGAGTTCCAATTAAGACCACGACTAAAAAACAAGTAATTCATTAGCCAGGCGTGGTGGAGCATGCCTTTAAGCCCAGACTCTGGGTTCAAGGCTAGACTGGACTACAGAGTGAGTTCCAAGGCAGACAGAGCTACACAGAGAAACCTTGTCTCGAAAAACAAACGAATAAAAAAAGTAATTTAAAAAGACACAAATGGAAAAAGAAGAACGAAAACAACAAAAGAGAAATAGACAAAAATAAAACAACAACAAAGAACCAGACTAAACCGTACACAATACGTTTCCGGTTAAACCTGTTAAGGGGAGGGGTATGTGGAGGCACAACACCCAATGAGGGAAGGGGTATATGGACTACAATCCCCATGATTCACCGGGCCCCTCCTAAGAGAGAGAGTTCAAAGACAACACACATGGATGTCTGGGTAAATTTGGAAACCAACAGACTCAATTCTGAAGTTTCTTTTGGACTCCCGTAGGGCCACCCAAAGAGAACAAAAGACATGCGATCCCAGGGATGGGAAAGTTTACGGCTGGAGCGCCCAAACCTGCGTAGCATCTTGGGAGTTGTAGTTCCACTACGATTGGGCCGGAGACCCCAGGCTCTAGCAAACCCATGTTGCTTTCCTCGGGCTTTCTGTGATCTCTGAGAGAGGGACCAACTTCACCTGCACTCCGTCCCGCATTTACCTCAGCGTTAGTGCCAGCTGAACTCCTTCGCGGGACAGCCCGACGCCTATCCTCCTCGCTTAGTAACGCTGTCAGCTCCGCCCTCTTTTGGGCGGGGACCTCCAAGGTGACCAATGATAAACTAGAAAATAAAAGTAACGGGAAAAGGGGCGTTCTCTCGTGACTGGCGGCAAAGCTGCTGAGAGCGCGTGTTTGATTGGAGACGGAGGAGCGTGCAGCAGTAATTGACAAGACTGTGGACCAATAGAAAGGATCAGAGGCTGGGCTGACGCTTGAAAGAGAGCTAAGGGAGTTGGCTTCCACAGTCCCCTTTTTCTAACCGCCAGAACTGTAGCAGGGAGGCCTGGCTCCAGCCTAACTACTGTTGCAGGGCTGGCCGGGGGCGCCTCTCTTCACTTTGCCCTCCTTCTATCTGTTGGGCCGGCGAACCTATCCTGATGGTCACCTTAACCACTTTCCTCTTGCTGCTGAGCAGCTGGTCTCACTCCTTGCCAGGCCTGGGCTTCTGGCCCGAGCAGTGGGATCAAAACGAGCTATTTCTGGCCCCGGCGCGCAACCCCTGGGGGCCAACCTGGAGTGTTCCTGCTCACGCCCCTGGTCACTGAGCACCCGAGGCTGAGTCAGAGGCACAGAATTAGGCCCGACCTGCTCTGTTAGGGTCTGTTCTGTGTCCTGCTGACAGCCTGGCGTGGCTGCGGCATTCTCCAGGAATCTGTTAAGAAGGCTGGTGCGTCATCCTCAGACCTGCCAGCCGGGCAGAGGTGTTAAGAGGACTGAGGACTCTTAGGTGGACTTCTCGGGGCCCGGGTTCCCAACTGCCATAGTGGTTCGCCACACCCCTAAGGGTCTGCCTCCTAAGTCTTAGCTTCCCCTTCTAGAAATGGAGAAGTCTTAGTGACAGTTCCCTGGTGTCCTTTTCCAGGCATCCAGCAGGCGTTTAATAACTAGCCAAGTCATTATTGAAGTTTCTAAATAAGGCATACTAATGGCCGAGTCTGGCCTCAATCCCAGTGTCCCTGGGAGGCCCGCCGCGGGGGCCGCACTGGGCACAGTATAAATCCGAGAGTGCGTGCGCTTGGGCACTGCGGAGCCCGGGCTTGCAGCGGAGAGCAGAATGGAGATCCCCGTGCCTGTGCAGCCTTCGTGGCTGCGCCGCGCTTCGGCTCCTTTACCGGGTTTTTCGGCTCCGGGACGCCTCTTTGACCAGCGTTTCGGCGAGGGCCTGCTTGAGGCCGAGCTGGCTTCACTGTGCCCTGCCGCGATCGCCCCTTACTATCTGCGCGCCCCCAGTGTGGCACTGCCCACAGCACAGGTGCTAGGCCTGGGGAGAGGGACAACTCAACTACTAACAAGACTAGCGGTCTGGTTCGCCCTGGGGTGGGGGTGCGGGAATGTCTGTTGATTTTGAGTTTGGGGGAGAATGCCCCTGGGGTCTGTTGATTTTGAGTTTGGGGGAGAATGCCACCCTTTAGTGGGCCATTGGGAGTCCTCTGAATGTGGTGTTCTGAGGCCGGGTTATTGTTGCCCTGAGGGGTGAGGGGTGAGGGCGGAAGGACTAGATCACTACCTCAGGAGTCTTGATGACTGAAGGAGGCAGGTGCCCCGGGAATCTGGGGGAAAGGACAGTGAGTCCGGTAGGGTTGGAATGCCCTGAAGGTTGTGTATGGTGATGCTGCATTTCCCAGAAAGGTCCGGTGATTTGAAGGGGGTCTTGAGCACTTTAAAGCAGGGGAAGGGGATCTATGCAGAGGGTACAGGAGGTCCCATGACCTGAGAACTCTGGAGATGGGCAAGTGGCATCTTGTTTGCTAGTGTGAGGTCTCGTAGCGGAGACCTGGCGGCTGTGGAGGCAATGACATGGGGTGGGGATACAGGTACCTAACTTGGTCACCCTATGAATGTGGAAGCCCAGAAGAGGTGGACTCAGCGTCTACAAGGGGAGGGAGGAGGCCAGTTATTTATGTGAGGTTGAGGTTCTGGTGACTCGAGAAGGGAACTGTCTATCCGGGTCCTCAGCAGTCCCAGAAGCCCAGCCCCCACCTGATGAAAGTCCCACACCCACGCCTGATATGTGCAGGTGCCCACGGACCCTGGATATTTTTCCGTGCTGCTGGATGTGAAGCACTTCTCACCAGAGGAAATCTCTGTCAAGGTGGTCGGCGACCACGTGGAGGTCCACGCACGGCATGAGGAGCGCCCGGTAGGCCAGCAGGCCGGATGGGGCAGCAGGGCTGGGCAGGAGGGTGGGACGCTCAAGCCCATTTTTCTTCCCCAGGATGAACATGGATTCATTGCTCGAGAGTTCCACCGCCGCTACCGCCTGCCTCCCGGCGTGGACCCTGCTGCTGTGACCTCGGCACTGTCCCCTGAGGGTGTCCTGTCCATCCAGGCCACACCAGCAGCGGCCCAGGCCCCACTTCCATCGCCACCTGCTGCCAAGTAGGGGTCCAGGCATGACAGGACCGAACCTGGGAAGCCTCTTTAGGCTCCCTTTTAAAAGCCGATCTGACTCCACCGCCCAGCCAGATGTCCCAATCGTTGTCAAGACAGTTCCTCCCAACCAAATCTAGTGTCCTCCCCTCTCCCCTAGGGCCTTTCCACCCCAAACCCTACTTGGGCCTTAGTAACCTAGACGCCCTCCCTAACCTCCCGCCCACCAGCTTTCAGGCCCCACCCACAGTACCTCTCTAGAGACAACACAAACACTATCTCACCCTCTGCCTAGACTCCCACCTAACTGACCCTGTTTGGGGCTTATGTCACCACTCAGGCCTCCTACTGCACTTCTAAGTTGTAAAGCACCGCACTGCGACACCAGAGTACAATGAGGACAGCGCTTCCCCCATTCCAGGCCTGTCACCTAATTCCCCACAGTGACCCGTGGGCGAGCCAGTCTGACTGCCTGCCTGGGCCTTCCTCATCAGAACATTCAAGTCTGGTCCACCAGACTCTAGATCCTGTCCCTGCAACCTAACAGTCCTCTGCCCCAGGCCATTTTAAACTTGAAACTCCAGGAGCCTAAGTTCCTGAATCCTGTTCTGACCTCCCAATCCTTGGACGTCTATTCCCAACCAATCAGGACCCCCAAACTCAAATTGTACAGACACTTCAACTTCCCCAGATGTGATAGGCCAATGAACCAGAACCCCTGAGTTCCTTTGTCCCGACTCCCCATCTGCAGTCAGATATCCTAGGCCACCACCTCCACTTATCCTGTAAGACCAGTCACACCTTCATTCCCTGTCACCTCATTCCCTTCCTATATTCAGTCCCCAATAAATGTGCTAGAGACTGTCAACTGCCTCATGTCTGGGCCAGGAAGGATGGGCTGGCCAGTGTGGGTTGGGGGCAGGTTTATTGGGGTGGGGGAACTGGGAACATCACTGTCGATCATACATCTCCCGCAGAATCTTCATACTTTCTGAGTAACGAAGCTGGTTCCGATGAGATGCCTCCTTCCATCTAGGGAGGTAAAGGAGGATTTAGCAATTGCTGCAAAGGACACGGGGGCAGGGAGCAAGGGACAAGGGCATGCTCACCTCTGGCGGATGCGTTTCCAGCGTTGCATGTTGCGATAGATGAGTGTGGAAGGAGAAGGTTCAGGCTCGCAGGGCTGCATGGACAGAGAGACCCAGCTAGGTGGCCAGGCCGTAACCCCCAACATAGGCCCTGAAGCTCCAGGCCAGCCTTGGATACCTACTTCATCGTCAGGGGTACCCTGGGTCTCAGGCTGCAGTGGGGATGGAATGCGGGATCTGCAGGCATCTCCAAGTGGTCCAGGGGCTGTGGGTGGAGGCAGCTTGTACACATCACGACTTTTGCTGTTGATGACCTCTGAACCCTAGGGAGACGAAGCCCCATTATGAGGCCCAAGAGTCAGAGCAGAAGGTTGAAAGTACATGTCATCCCTCCTACCTTTCCCAGTGACACAGACATGAGGGGTCTGCCCAGAAACCTGTACTTGGAAGAGTCGCAGCAGAGGGACACATACTTTCCACAGCTAGAGGATGGTCTTCCTGCTCTAGGGACCGGGTCTTCTTGTCAGCCTGAGAACCCTGGTCTACCCTTACCAAGCCCACGGAATTCCATCTCTACCTGTCAGGCCAAGGTGGGGGTCAAGATGCCTGCCTTAAGGAACTGTCCAGGGGGTGCCATATCTACTCTTACCTTGACAGAGTCAAGTCATATGTCTGTCCCAGAGATCCCTGTCTACCGTCTTAGGCCAGATGACTTCCAAACCCCCATTACCCTCCACCCAGATCATAGGGTCCACATTTGCTCACCAAGGCCCCATCTGGTAGCCACATCTGTTTGCACTAAAGATCCCTATTTAGCCTTTTATTTCTTGGAATCCCTGTTCCCTAGGAAGCCATATCTACCTGGCCTAAGGACCTCTGTCCATGTTCCTCACCTAATGGCACAGAGCTGTGTCCTACCTGACTCTCTACACATTTAGGGGCCGAGATTATACCTATCTACCACTGATGGAGGGGGGAGTTCTTGAGCCTATCCACCCACTGCTCTCTCTGGCCTCTGGGTCAGGACCCAACACTCATCCCACCTCCTCATCCTCAGGCAGAGGGGGCAGTGGTGAGCTGGGTGACCGCTCACGCTCTCGCACTGAGGGACTGTTGCGCATCCAGGCACGGCAGATGGGGTACAATGGTGTGCTCTCACTGAACTGGGCCAAATCCACACTCCGGTCAAACAGCTTGATCACATATGTGTCTGGGGTGGTGAGGTGGGACATAAATGAGCACCCTTATTTAGTCCCTGGCTCCACGCCCACCCTCTCGGGCCCCTGCCTACTCACTGGATCTCTGAGGACCCCCCTCAGCCAGCCCATCGTCCATCTCCCTCCTCTTCTTCCTCCGCTGGTGGGGGAAGCGGGCAGATGGCCTGTGTGGTGAAGGTGAGTGTCAGGCCTGGAGCAGGGGACTGGGGACCTTAGAGTGGGCTGGGGCCACAGCCACCTTACCTTTTGCCAGTGGCAGCGATGGAGCAATCCCTGCAGGGAGAGAGGGGGCATCAGCAGGCTGAGCCTCTAATGAGCACCTGCTCAACACCCCCACCCCAAGGCAGCGGCTACGTGGTTCAGTAATAGAGCATTTGCACAGCTAGGAAAAAGCCCCGGGCTTCAACCCTAGCACTGAAAACAAACAAAAAATGGACATCCTGGGGTTTACTGGTGCCTCTCGGGCCTTGTATCCCACAAAGAAGGTGTTAGCCACTCATGTCACAGGTATCTCTGTCCACATAAGATGATCAGGACTCAGAGGAGGGAAAAGTTACCTAACCCGACTCTCAGGTCTAAGTCCCATCAAACCCCTTACTTGTTGTGTGTATCCGAGGGCGTTTTCCCAGCGTCTTCATCCAGACGTCCCCTGGGAGCAAAACAGCACTACTGGCTTGGGGTACCAAGGGCCCAGAGTGTGATGATATTGAGTAGTCTCCCCAGGAAACACCTCCCTGGGTCAGCCTCTAGGCTCCCATCCAGATCCCCATCACAATCAGAGAGTTCAAACACAGTTCTCACCCTTGTGGTCTCCCAGGCTGGAGCAGACCCTACCTGTCCATGTGACTCTTCTCCAGTAGACACTGAAGAACGGCATCCAGCTGGTTCCGGGCTTTGGCCATCTCCATCTCTGAGGGCAGAAGGTACAGAGCAGGAGTCAGCCCTCTGTGCACATCTCACATCTTCTGTGGCAATCCGATGGTCTGGTCCAGGTCCCCTGAAAGCAGCTTTGGTGCCACTCAGCGGAAAGACACAGAACTGGGCAACTGAGCCTTAGGCAGGGGTCAAGAGCGAGGCTGTTCCCACTGCTCCATACTGTTAGCTGCTCTCCCAACACAACACCAAACTAAGAATCTATGATCTGGATATCTTCCATGGACAGCGCTTAGGGTCCTTCCACTGGGTCTTCTACTAGGTCTCTCTCTCTCTAAATCTACCCCTGCTTCCTGAATTCACACCGTGAAGAGAGACCCACCAATCCACAGGCTCCTGGACTCACCATGGATACTCCTTTCCTGTCCTGGTCTCAGCCCTCCTGGCTTCCTGAGTGTCTGCCCATGTCTTCCCTCCCCACCTTGCCCTCTCCTCCCACTCAGCTCCCAGCCTCAGCTCCTCTCCTCTTCCGATCCACTTTCCACGATGTAGACAAAAGAACCTTCCTAAAAGAAAGCCAAGCCTGGCTAGGCATAGTGGCATATGTCTGCTATCCCAGCACTCTGGATGCTGAGGCAGGGAGATAAAGAGTTCAAGGCCTGCCTCAGCTGCATGAGACCCTGACTCAAACAATAAGCAAAACAAAGAAAAATAATAAAAACAGACAACCAACCCCAGCATAGAACTCTTCAGGATTCCACAATCCGGGCCCCAGGAAACAGGGTCTGTCCTCAGCCTGGTCTTTCCAAGCTTACCCTTGTAGTACCTGCAGAGTTGTGGTGAGGCCCCCTCCACTTTTTTTAGATATAGCGTCTCTCACTAGGTAGCCCTGGGATGGCTTGAAATTTACTAACTAGACCCAAAATGACCCTGAATTCAGAGATCTGTCTGCTTCTTCCTTCCATGTACTGGGATTAAAGGCGTTTGCCAACACAAACTGCCCGCCCCCCTCCACTATTCCACTCAAGTTTTGTTGTTATTGGGCTATTTTGGTTTGGGTTTTTTGGTTTTTTTTTTTTTCATTTTGTGGTACACCTTTACCAACTCACTCCTTGGTTCAAAAACCTCCCTAGACCACCCATTTCCCTCAGAGGAAAAGTCAACAGTCCCTTCCTGGGCCCACAGATCTGTCCTCCTCCGCATCACCTCTTCACCTCTCTCTCTTCTCCGCCCCAGCCACCCTCACCTCCCTGCTGCTCCCTTGGCCCACTGGCTACTCCCTCACACAGCCGCTTCCTCCCACCTGTGTATTTTCCCATCGTGTGGGTCTCATGATGCCCAGGCAGACCATGAAATCCTGGGATCCAGTTATTGTCTAGTTTGGTTAGCTGTTACTACAGGGCTTCCCCACCAGGGTCTGGTTTTACTTATTTTTCAGGTCTGTGGATGGAACCTGGAGCCTAGTGCATGCTGGGTAAACAATCTGCCACAGAAGTGCACCTATATCCCCTATCTTGTTTTAGGCAACACTTACCCCGTTTAACAGCTCACATCATTATCTACTACGGACTACCTTTTCTTTCTGCACTCCCTCCTCGCTGCCCTTTACCATGCCATTCTAGGGTTCCTGTTAGGCTCCGCCTTCTCATCCATCACACTACCTACACCCTAAGGTTACTGAATACAGCAATTGAGAATTGATTCCCTGTATTTCAGGGTCACACCACATTTGCTGATTCATGACCACTGCCAGAAACAGGAAAACTGAACAAGAAAGGACCCTTCTTAGAGTTAGGGGCTCTGGACCCCGAGGTTTTACTATCATCACGGGGCCGGAAGCACCACCATTCAATCTCAAAGCTACTTAGAACAGCCCGGGATGGCTTGAAGGTGGCCATGCTCCGTGCGTCTGTCAGATGGCTGCAGAGAGATGTCACATAGTTCACTTTTTCGCGATAACCCATGTCTCTCGGGTGTCCCGGATCCCCAGTCCTCACCTGATTTCTCCACTTTTACCTTTACCGGGAACATGGTTTGGGTCCAGGTCTAATTCGCTGGATCAGAAAAACTTAGAGGAGGCAAGATTCACAAGCCAAGGCGGGAAGTGGGCAGGAAAAGGTCAAAGGTAAGTCTGGGTACCACTGGTCCTGGGGCCCGAGCACCTTCCAGTCGCGATTGCCTTGGCCGCCACTTCCCTTCTTTCCCTTCTGTAGGCGGGCCCCTTCGGCAGCCGCTATTTCCCATTAGTTAGTGAAAACGTCAATTCCATTCGCTGGCCAATTGACAACCTGTACCATTGGCTCCCCAGCCTTAAGTTCCACCTTCCCGAGGCCCTGTTTCCGGAAACAAACCAACGACAACCCAGGCAACTGGGGAGGGCGGGGGTCGTATAATTCAAATTTCCAAGGCGCAACAAGGCGGTAACGCCGCCTGTACCGCGCGGAGCACTGTGGGAAACAAAAAGGGTCGGGTATGGCAAGGCTTCTCGGGATTTGTAGTGTTATATTTTAGTACCGTCAATATACCCATTTATAGCTTTGAACTAATTACTGTAGTCGGTTGTCACCGAGATCCCTAACAGGAAGACCTATCTGGAGTTGGACTGGCTCCTTTCTTACGGAGAACTCGCTAGGAATCAATTACCTGCTGCTCTCTTTTTTGAGCAAAATCTCTTTCATTTGAATATTAAGAGTGCTGGGTATTCATCCAGGCAGTGCGGACACTGCAATGAATAAAACAGGCAATGATTTAGCCTTGCCCTGATGTGGCTTATCTTGTAGAGGATAGAAGATGGTCAATAAATAAACCGAAAATTCTAAGTGAAATGTAGTAAGAACGAAAATATGCCCTAAAATAGTCATAGGGAATATCAAGGTAGGGACTGAGATTTTATTATATCATTATTTATTTATTGATTGCCTCACTCTGGCTCAGTCTAGCCTGAAACTATATAGGTAATCCAAGCTGGCTTTGAACAATACCACACTCTGCTGGGTGGTTTTTTGTTTGCTTGTTTACTTATTTACTTGGGAGGGGTGGGGGTGGGAAGGGGCACACATGTGCCATGGCACACCTGTAGAGGTCAGAGGACCATTTATGAGATTTGGGGATCAAACTCAGGCCAGGATTGGCAGCAAGTGTCCCTACCCAGAGTCATCTCACCAGACCCTCTGCTGAAATTGTATTTTATTGTTTTGGGACAGGATATCAGTGTACAGTCCTGGCTGGCCTGGGAATTCACAGAAGTCCACATGCCTCTGCTTCCAAGAACTGGGATTATAGATATGAGTCACCAAAATCATGAAATTTTAAATAGGAAGATCAAGGGGCCAGAGAGATGGCTCACTGGTTAAGCTCAGTGGTCAAGGGGACCCAGGTTTGATTCCCACATGGTGACTCACAACCATCTGCAACAGCACTTCCAAAGGATAAGATGCCTTCTTCTGGCCTACACACACACACACACACACACACACACACACACACACTTAAAAAATAAAGAATAAAAACAGGAGAGTCAAGGAAGCTTTTCTAAGAAAGCTCTTAGATATTTCTCTTGCTGTAGACAACTCCAGAGTCTTGGCTCAGATGAATTCTTCCTTGGCAGACAATACTAAGACACACAATACTAAGTATCTTGTTTGGTTTGTCATGCTGGGAATTGAACCTAGCATCTTTCTCATGCTAAATAAGTGCACTACCAGTACACTACACCACTAAACTACACCCCCAGTTAAAGTCGGGGAGGGGTGTTGTTTCTGTCACACACACACCCCCTCAGCGTTTCTCTGTGTATCAGTCCTGGCTAGAACTCACTTTGTAGACCAGGCTGGCCTCAAACTCACAGAGATCCACCTGCCTCTGCCTCCTGAGTGCTGGGATTAAAGGCATGTGTCACAACCACCCGGCTAAGAAAGCCGTTATTTTTAAATTCACAACTACCAGTACAGGATAGCAGCCCCTAGAAGTGGAAGCATCATTCTTTTCTCCTTCATCTGTAAGACAGGGTTCCTAAACAGGAAAGTTCTTATTTCAGAAGGGTCTGGTGGTAGTCAATGAACTAAAAATTCATACAATGTGTGAAGCACTGAGCCTAACACGTAACACATTCGGTAAGTGCATTTCAATGCTGGCAATCGCTTATGCTTCTACCTCCAAAAGATCCCAGGAAGTCAGTGTTTAAAGTTAGGGTCATTTATTGGGGCAGATGGGAAATGGGGGACAGACAGTCTTCAGGGTTTCAGAAAAAAACTTAGAGCAGAGAAGCCCATCCTGGGAGAAAGACAAGATCACCAACCAGCTTGTGGAGTGTTAGGGAGTGCCCAGGGGAATGGTGAAGGAGAGGTAGTCCCCAAGAGCACCCCAGCGGGGCCGGTAGAGCTGGAAGATGGTGATCCAGGTGGTGAGGATAACTACCCAGAAGAGGAAGCCCACAGCTGAGCGCCAAACATCTATAATGAAGAACAAGAGTGTGAAGGATTGGCCTCCCCCAGGCCGGCCCTTTTATCACTGCCACAGACCTCCCTGGTGTCCTAGAACTCACAGCCTTTGATTTGGCTCTGCTCTGTGTAGGCTGGGGCAAGGAAGGCCTCTCTGAAGAACCAGAAAATATTGACCAACCAAAGAAAAGGCAGGAATGCAAATCCACCTAGGGAAAAAAAAAATACCCACACTTGGTCACACGGCAATAAAGACCCTTCCTAAAATCCCCGCCTTAGAAGGCCCATTTGGAAGATCGTCAACTGGAGACCTTCCGCTGTTAGGGGTTCCGGGGTTATGCCTCTCGTCTACGGATCCAGGAATTCCTTCTCTGGACCCAGGCGTTCATTCTCTTGGGACTCAGAAACTGAGGCCTCAGCTTGCTTCTTCCTGAGGTCTCTCTTCTCGCGGACCACAGTCTACGTTCCCCCTTAGAGCCACGAATCCAGGTCCCTATGTCCTCTAGCCTCGGGGTGCTCTAGTCCAGTCCCTACTATTACCCGAAACTCTAGGGGGATCGGCCTTACCGAGATAGTACTTCCGGCACAGGTTCAACTTCTCCTCATTGGACACCCGCTCCAAGTTCATAGCTGCGCTGGAGCCCGGTGGTCCTAAGGGTCTGCAGACCCAGACCAAAGGACAGGCGCAAGCTCACCAACAACCACGCCCCTATTACGACAAATTAGATAAAGGAGGGTTTGCCAGAGAAGTTCCTTATCTAGTTAGGGTGTGCGAGGCAACTCGCAACTCACCAGTGGAGTTTATCCCTTCTGCCCGGGATTCCTTTGCTGTTTCTAACTGCAGTCGTTTGCGGGAGACGCCGAAGGTTTCTGTGGAGTTTGTAGTCTTTTTTTTAAAATTTCCCCTGGAGGCTACGTTGTACGCATGCGCTGCTAGGAAACTTGCGCACGACCGTCGGGGAAGGCAGGCTGGCCTCCAACACGCGTGCGCAGTCACGCCACAGGCAGGGACAAACTACACTTCCCAACGCTCCTGAGCAACGGAAGTGACGCAAGGAGCAGGAGCGTTGGAGTGTTCGGGTAAAAATGGCTGAATATTTAGCTTCGATATTCGGGACTGAGAAGGACAAGTGAGAATGGTGAAGGGAGTGGCCTCTCAGGGAGCCGGGGCACTCGGGTCCCTATGGGCTGGGCGGACAGGGCAGTGTTCGTGGGATGCCCGGCCCTCCCGGCCCCCGGTTTACCTCTGTCTTTGCACCTCTTCCAGGGTTAACTGCTCTTTTTACTTTAAGATTGGGGCCTGCCGGCACGGGGACCGGTGCTCCCGACTTCACAACAAACCGACTTTCAGCCAGGTGAGACCCAGATTCATACGTCCCCGCGCTCCATCTGCTGCCCATCATCCCGGGGTCCCGCCTCTTCCGGATTCCTAAAGCCAATCCTATCCCTCTTGCTTTCTGACCTGGCCCTCTGAGTAGACCCTTCTTCCCGGGACTGGGCCACGCCTCCCTGTGCACAGACCACGCCCCTCGGCTGTCCAGGTAGTTTCTTAGGAGCAAGCATCTCTGACAAAACTCCAGTAGTTCACGTCTCACTCCCCAATCTCACACCCACTCTGCATGCAGCCCTGCCTACTAAGCTCAGGCCTCTTTTAAATTTTGTTCAGACCATAGTGCTACTCAACTTGTACCGGAATCCACAGAACACAGCCCAAACCGCAGATGGATCACACTGTGAGTAAGAAACCAGACAGTTCAGGGGCTGGGCAGACCGCCCCTAGCAGTCTCCGCCCTCATTTCACCCTCTGTCCTGCCTCCAGGTCATGTGAGCGACGTGGAGGTGCAAGAACACTATGATAACTTCTTTGAGGTGAGAGTTGCCAGGATAGCTGGGTTTCCTGTGTGCCAGATCTTAGCTGAGCCTCTTTCCATCTTCTGCAGGAGGTATTCACAGAACTGCAGGAGAAGTACGGAGAGATTGAAGAAATGAATGTGTGTGACAACCTTGGAGACCACCTCGTGGGCAATGTCTATGTTAAGGTGCCTGTTGCCCCCCGCTTAGAGCCCAGAAGTGGAAGTATTCCAGTGCCTAGTGGCCACCACTGAACCCTCACAACCTGAGGGCTGTCGCTAAGCCGAGAGCAGCCTCAGGGCTGACTAGTCCCCTGAAGCTCTTGGATTCCACAGCCCATGGTCACCCGCTTTCCCCTCAGTTCCGCAGGGAGGAGGATGCAGAGCGGGCCGTGGCTGAACTCAATAACCGCTGGTTCAACGGGCAGGCTGTGCATGCTGAGCTGTCGCCAGTCACCGACTTCCGAGAGTCTTGCTGCCGCCAGTATGAGATGGGGTACGGTAGTGAAGAATGGGCTGGGCTCCGGAGTTCCAGCTGCTTGAGCGTTTGGTAGGAGGTTGTCAGTGTTGATGGCCTCTCCTGTCTGTCCGTAGGGAATGTACCCGAGGTGGCTTCTGCAACTTTATGCACCTACGACCCATATCCCGGAACCTGCGCCGGCAGCTCTATGGGCGAGGACCCAGGCATAGGTACCTCAGGTCCAGCTTGCCAAGTTCTCCTCTACCCTGAGATGAACCGGATTCTGATTTTGTAGGCAGACCATTCCAAGGCGCTTGTGCTCTAAATATAGTTTTGAGCCCTGCCTGAAGAGTAGTACCTTAGTCTCAGTGCTCAAAACTGTGTGAACCCCAAACCCAAGACTAGCCTGAATACCCACCCCTGAGTACCAATCCTGAAATGACAGTAACAACCGTCCTATCCCTGAGAGACTCTTAACTATTCCTGCCCATCCCTGTCCACTTCCCAGGTCACCTCCAAGATCCCATACAGGCCACCGTCCCCGAGAAAGAAACCGACGTCGTTCCCCAGACCACCGGCATGGTCGCTTCTGAGACTGGTGCTCTTCACCTCTTCCTGTGCAGGATCCCTTCTCAAAGCCTTCTTCACTTTCCAGCTCCATCATCCCCAGGCTTCAGAGCTTCATGATACAGTCTGTTCAACAGAGTAACTTCCTCCTCCCATCCCTTCTCTAATAAAGCTTAGGAAGTTTGTCTAACAGAGGTCTGTGGTTTCCTTCTACCCCCACATCTAAGAAAAAGTGCACGCCAGCCACAGCCTCAGTAGAGCAACTTGGAACCAGCTGTGAAAGGAGGCTTGGGGTCTGGTCTGCACCGGTAAGTCAGGACTGCTTTTGTACCCAAAACCTTGGCTTGTCCATTCCAGGTACCTTTTAGGGAGAGGTGGCAGGTTGGAGGATTCCTAATAGAGGTGGGGATTAGAAAAGGAGGGAAGAGAGGTGGTTCGGGACTGGTAAGAGTCTGCAGGAGGTTCGGCCTGGACATTGGAGCCTCCCACACCACCCTGAGATGAAGCTCCAGTACCTAGCCTTTTGACTTGGGTTTGCCATCTTCTAGGTACTGTGGTGTTCCTTTTGTGGTTTGTTTTAATTGGCTTTTGAAGCAGGATCTCACTGTGTAACTCTGGCTGGCCTGAAACTCTCCATGTAGACCATGCTGGTCTTAAACTCAGAGATCCTCCCGCCTTTACCTTCCAAGTGCTGGAATTAAGGGTGTACACAGTACACCTGACTACTGTGATGTTTTTAGTAGATTCATCAACACACACACACACACACACACACACACACACACACACACACACACACACACGCACACACTGCCTTCACCTAGAGAGGCAAGTTCTGTTACCCCATCTTAGAGATGAAAATGAGAAGAGGCAGGTACGTGAGGAGAAATAATCTGACGATCCATATCCAGTTCTTTTTAGGCCTTGTGGGCCTGGAGTTGGGTGGGGGGCACACCAGCTCCCAAGAAGGCCCTGGAATTCTGTTCCCCCACATTCACCACTTCCTTCTGCCCTGGATTTCCTGGAAAGTGCTGCCGAAGTGGTGTGGGTGGAAGTCCTGTGGTCCCTCAGGTTGCAGACTCTGCTGAGATGGGGCCCAGATACCTTTTCTGGACAGCCACAGTGGCAGCACTGCTTCTGATTTGGGCTGCTTCAAGGGAAGTCTCTCGGTTCTGCGGCCGCCTTGCATACTGGAACTCTGACAACAAGTGCTGCAGCAGCTGCCTGCAGCGATTCGGGCCTCCTGCCTGCCCTGGTGAGCACTAGATGGTGCAGAGATAAGGGGCGCTAGGAAGTGGCAGGTCCTTGCTGGGCCGGCGTGGGGCTTGTTTGGGGAGTAGAGGCAATGAGTCTTAGGCAAGTAAAACTGGGAGGGTGGACCGAGCCTGTGCAGAAAGGATAGGTTAGGATGGGGACACAACGCGAATTTTCCCTGTGAGTGGGGACAAAGGGCTTAGGTAGATATTAGTGTGGGCAGTGCCTGGTGGAGTGGGTGGGGAAAGGGGTGGGGCCTCCTGTGGATTTGAAGAGGGATGGCCTGCTGGCATTGGAGGGAGGGCCTGTGCTCAGATGTACCTCTGGAGCCCATGTCTCCTAGACTACGAGTTTACGGAAAACTGCGGACTCGATGACTTCGGCAACACCATAGCACAAACTTTCAAAAAGTGTTCTCCTGGGTATTGCAACCCCAATGGCACAGAGCTGTGTAGCCTCTGTAGCAGCGGAGCCACAACCCCCACACGCATGGAGAGCCACAGTAGAACCCAGAAGCAGTGTAGAAAGGTGCTTGACGCCTGGGCTCTGGGCCAGGGCTTGCCTGAGGTAGCTGTGGGTTCCATGGGCAAAGCTTGGATCAGTTGGGGAGCCTCACTGAAGGAGATGGGGAGCACAGCAGAGTCCCAAGCGGAGTGCCTTAAGGGGGTGGATGAGGTGGGGGGCAGGAGAGGGTGTTCCACGTAAGGACCTAAGGAGGCGTGGGCTAAGGGGCCCTTGTTTCAAACCTGTCCTCAGAAACCCATCCCTCCCAAGGAGGTCTGTCCTCTGACAACTGAAGAAACAGGCGTCTTTAGCTCCCCAGGGCAGGGGCAGACAACCAAGGAGGCCTCTGCCCTGCCCCTGACGGCACTGTTGCTGGTGCTCCCGATACTGGCAGTGGTCTTGCTCCTTCTGTTCAAGAGGAAAGCCCGCTCCCACCCCTGTCCCAGCCTGGCTTTGGGAGACCACAGCACCTCCGCACACCGGCCCTCTCCGGGCTCCCTGGAGGTATTGGGAAGTAGGAGCACTGGGAAGACACCTCTGCTGCAGCTCTCAAGCTGGGGTTTGTAGGGGGCAGCCCTGTCCAGGAGGGAAGGTGGCCTCGAAGCTTGTCCTTCCTCCCCTTCACTCCTCCCTGGTTTTCCAGAGCTTCAGAGCCTGGCCTCACAGCCCCTAGCTCGCCTCCTGGACGAGCTGGAAGTTCTGGAGGAACTGATTATGCTGCTGGACCCTGAGCCTGGGCCTAGCGGAATCATGGCTTATGGTACCACACGACACCTGGCTGCAAGATACGGGTTGCCTGCCACCTGGTCTACCTTTGCCTACTCACTGCGGCCCCATCGCTCACCCCTGAGAGCCCTGATTGAGATGGTGGTGGCAAGGGAGCCATCTGCTACTCTGGGACAGCTTTGCATACACTTGGCCCAGCTAGGGCGGGCAGATGCACTGCAGGTGCTATCCAAGCTTGGCTGAGTCAGGGTTTGCTGGGGATTACTACTCATTCAATAAAGTTTCCCTTGAAGCCAATGTCTGCTATCCTCATTAAAGGGGTCTTCCTGAAGTATAATCACATGGGGCCCCAAGCCAGCGGACATCCTTCTTTCCTGTAAAGGGTCCATTCCAACATGAACAGGACCATATTACCTGGCCACTCTTGGAGTCACTGATTGTACTCAATTGTGCAAAAAGGTAGAAACTAGCACACTCGCTCTGATGTCTCCACACACCCTTTTTTCCCCCCCTGGTTTTTTGAGACAGGGTTTCTCTGTGTAAGTCCTGGCTGTCCTGGAACTCGCTCCGTAGACCAGGCTGGCAAGATGGCTCAGTGATAAAATGGCTTACCATGTAAGCCTTCAGTCCTGAATTACATCTCTGGTACAGTCCTCTGACCTCTATGGGCATGAGACAGCACATGCACACTAGTCTGCGCGCGCGCATGCGCACGCACGCACACGCACACGCACGCACACACACACACACACACACACACACACACACACACACACACACAACCACCACAATAATAAAATCATGGAAATACCACCTCTCCAAACATTGACAGACTTTATTGTGGGGGGGGATTCCCACCTGGGACCCCACCCTCTTAAATAAAAAAGTGCATAGAAAAGAAGGGATTTAGAAACCTTTGTACAATATCTACATCCTGGGTCCCCAGGGCAGGAAGGAGGCGATGGCTGGGTGGGCTGGAGGCAGGGCTCTTGCCCCTATATGTCCACATCCACCATGAACAGGAGGGTAGGAGTGAGACACTGAGAGACTAGGGAGCCAGAGGCCAGGGTGAGATGGCGGCGGGCGGGCACATGAGGCATCTGGGGCAGCCCCGGACGGCCTCAGTTAAGGAAGCGACGGCAGCGCTTGGCGCCACAGTTGCAGGGCAGCTTGTTGCTGGCATCCTCGATGGGAAACTTGTAGTCATAGGTGAGCTCCTCACCTCGAAGGATGCGGCGCAGGGCAAAGATGACAATGTGTTTCTGGCCTTCCACATGGATGACACGAGAGAAGCAGTTGGGCTCACACGAGTGGTTGATGAAGCGGGCAGCATTGCCGTGCATGGTGGCATCTACCACATCGAAGTCATCCATGCGGAACATGTAGCACCCAATACCCTACAGGGGTGGGAGGAAGGAAATGGCTTTTTGTCCCTGCAGGTCAGCCCATGAACACTCACCTCATAACCTTATGGCACTTACCTTTCCATCATAGAACTTCTCTCGCTTGTCAGTCAGGACAGACCGAATGACAATACCAGAGTACTCAATGACCATCTCACCAGCATCGATGTTGCGTTTACAGAACAGGCCTCGTCCGTGGATAGCTGATCTACAGGGCAGAATGCGCCATGGGGAATTCAGGGGCAGGGGGACAAGACACCAGGCAGCTCCCTATCATGGCATATATCCGTCCACCCAAGGGACTCCCCCCGCCCACAACCCCACTAACCTGTAGACACCAACTGCCTCTTTGGACGTCTTTTTGAGATGGCGAAAGCGCATGGCCATGGGAAGCTCCAGGCTGGTGGCACGTCTGGTAGGGGAGAGCAATACCACCTGAGTTGGTATCCAGGAACAGCACCCTCTTTAGGACCCTTTCAGACCAGGTCCAGGACTCCAATTGCTCTGCATACCTGGTGGACCGAAGCTGCACCTCATCCTCTTCTTCATCACAGGTGGCCCCCTCAGGGAGGACCCGATGCTGGGAAGCCAGGAAGTTGAACATGTCAAAGGTACACTTCCTGCAAGTGGGAGGAAGGTAGGAGGGTCACAGCCATCCCTTCAAAGAGATGCTACCTAGCCATGTTTTGATCTGGGCCAGTACTGCCAAGAACTATAGGCTAAAGACAGCAAAAGAGGAGGTAGGTGGGAGTCTACTCTTCTGACATCAAGTCTACAGATTACTCTTCCAGTGGCCTAGTGTCTCAGCTGCAATCTTTCTAGACTTAATTCCCAACCACTCACCGGAGATAGACCTCCGCTCGGGCAGCCCCATGGGGATTCAGGGGCGGCTCCTCCTGACCCTCTCCCTGCTGGTGGTAGCGGAACTTATAGTGCTGGCAGCGCTGGGCCCCAGGCAGCTGCTCTGCCAGGAAGATGACAGCATCGTGGTGGATGCCCAGGAGCCGTGCTCCACTCATTCCTGAGAACGGGGGAGGACACAGCAATCACATGGAGGGCCCACCTTGCCCTTGCTCCCAGCCTTCCTCGGGATACCTCTTACCACTGAAGGAGAGATGCCTGAGACGTGCATGCCCTCGAGCCTCTTGCACTTTCTCAATCAGAGTTCTCCACGCCCCTGGAACGAGGGGCCAGAGCAATCAGAATGAGGTCTCAACACTTTCCCCCTGTGCTACTGTTACCCCCAACTCACCCTCCAAGCTCTCTGCCTCCACACTGAAGCCGTCATCACTGCTGATCTCAAAG